AAATCCAACAAGTGTACATGCCACATCTTTGTACCAAAAGTAAATGCTCTCTTTGTACGACGTAGTTTGTATAGACCCGAGGCTCTAAACAATCAAAATAGAGTACACCTTCAAATAGTGTCTGATAAATGTGGTTTCGATACTAGAAATCTTTGTGATAGCCTTAAAACATATTGTCATCTCCAATCATAAAATTTAAAGCTTAAAAAATAATATAGATCGAGCAGATCTATAAATACTTGAAAGTCTTGAAAATTGACAGTCCAAAAATGCAATACAAGATACATTATTTCCAAAACTTAAAGTCTATTTTTTTCTCATGTCCATGCATCTTGAAGTCAAGATGATCAATTTTAAGATATTTGGGCATGAAAACAACCACTTCTAATGAAATTTTTGAGGTGGGCTCTAATTTGATTGTTTAGAGCCTCGGCTCTATGTAAACTTTTCTCCTCTTTGTATACTTTTCCTATAATTATTTACTAGGCTAAAAGCTTGTAAAGTAAACAAAACAATAGTGTGTGGCAATGGCAATTCTCGTGTTTCACTATAAATAAGGCGCGGAACTAGGAGGCTACTTTCTTTTATTTTAAACTTGACAATTTTGTATAGAAAAAGCATGAATTTAGGTCATCTTATTGTTTTACACTATGCAACAAAATTGTGTTGCTAACATATCAAAGACATGCTAGGACATGACAACGTACAATAGTACATTAGTTACCAAGATGCATGAAAGAATGATCAACAACAAGACTTTTTATTTCTAGATAAGCTTGCAATGAGTTAGAACTTTGTGCTCGGTTTTACGGAGGTTATTGCCATCGAATGAGTACATTGACATAATAGGATTTGTATAGCCGACCCCACTTGATTGGGAAAAGACTCTGATGGTAATGATGATTATGGTATGACCTTGTGGCACTGTAGCATTCAAATTCTTTTAGGGGGAACGCAAAATCTATTTTTATTATTCCTTAAAAAAAAAAAGAGGAAAACTAGGGATTCTCCATGACCATTACCCACTCTCTTCTTTATGTATGAGATGCAAAATTCTGGGGTTTATTTATAACCCTTGGAGGCAATTAAAGTTGAAGATGATTGAGGTGTGAAGGAAATCTCTCGTGATACGTGTTAGGGAAATTAGATTAATTTTTAAGGCATGAAGGAGACAAGTTCTCTCCTTTCTATGCGTAACCCATGACAAGGGGTAGGGACTCATAGCACAAATGGACCCTAGCATTCACATACCTATGCCAAACTCCCCTCCCCAAAAGTGTACTTAATGCCTCTTTAATTAACCACCCAAACCTTTCTTAATATAATTAATTTGCATGTTATGATAAGGCCACTTTGTTGCAAGAAATATGAAGACCATCATTGGGCGCCTCTTGGCAATACAATTGCTCATGAGACAAAAGAAAATGCATATTCTATCATGTGGGTACCAAAAATAGCCACATGTATTGCTTATTATTATTATTATTATTTTACTATTTTTTGACAATAAATTATTATTATTTACTTGGTAAAATGCTTTTTGATTTTGTTGATAACTAAGACAAAATAATAAATAAAAAGTATTTTGTAAAGCATGGCTTTATACAACACAAGTTATGCGTCGTATCGTTTATCTCAAACGTGAAGATCATGGATTTAGGAAAAGAAAAAAAAAGAAAAGAAAGATTTTATTCCTTGAACATAGTCTATCTTGTATTACTTCATTTCTATCATCCATTTAAACTTTTTGTAGATATGCCATATTTGCACTATTTATGTAGCTTCATATTCCATAATCAAGAATGGAATCCCAATCTATCACAAGGTTTTAGGACATTGGACTTGGTTTTTTTGGAGGGTTTTGAGGTGAAATCTAATTAATTTTTTTTGTAAAGTTGCGGTTTCAATTAAACCTCATTCAATAAAGAAGTGTACGTTTGATATATCTCTTTCTTGAACGATCCCTTGAGGCCACTTGAGGCCGCACCACTGCATTCTCCCCACATGTTCACCGATATGTCTACTGGGGCATCCTTCAATATTTTCTTGGGTGTTTAGTGATCCATCTGCTCAATAAACATTCTTATGACTATAGAGAAAAGTATAATGTGATGTATAGATCATAGAAAACTCATGGTCCTAAATGCTATCACTTTCTAATCAGTTGATGGTGATTATGGAGGGAGATTGGGACCCACTAAACTATAGACATCATCCAACAATTGATTGAAGAGAGATTTATATATAAACCCTAAAGTTTTTTCTAAAATACGAAATGTGTCATTTATAAGTAGAAATTATAAAGAAGATCAGTCAATTTGGTTGTTTTTTTTTTTTTTTCCAAAATTGTCCTGCGGTCTAAGGACATCCTAGGACTAAATTTCCAATTTTTTTTAGTTTTTTCGTTAGTAGGGTACTGGCCTACTAATGAAAAAACTGAAAAAAATTAAAATTAAAATTTAATCAGATAATTTCATTCTCAAATCGAAGGGAAATTTTGAAAAAAATAAACAAATGCAGATCGACCGACCTTCTTTATAATTTCTACATATAAACATAGCATTTTGTATTTTAAGAAATTTTTTAAAGCCTGTATGCAAATCACTCTTGATTGAATGGTGATAGAACCTCACTTTTTCAATGATCATATGAAGCACAATTTATAACTATAAATTAGAGAGAGAGAGGGAGGGAGGTGATGTAGGTGTTGAATTTTGTTATTCCCCTTCCGGCTAACTTGGAAGTTATCCTTTCAGTCAAAAAAAAACATAAAAAAAAAAAAAAAAAAACAACAGAAAAGGGAAAACCTTCTTTCTCTTCCAAAAGCCACTTTACAGAATTAATTTAGAAGCACCTTCTTCCTCTTACAGCAACTACCCAATCACTAACACAATCCCTTACCTTTATTCCTCCTTACTATTCGAGTCGAGAAAAAAAACGTACACATTTCCCGATTCTTCAGACCGGACCGCACCTCTTTTCAGGCCCTCGGAATTGGAGCATCAGACTCAGACTCAGACTCTTCCACTCCCTTTTCATCTCCCCTTCTATTCTACCAACTTTGTACAATATACGTATGTTTTTCCCCTACCTTATAATCAAATAAAGCACTTAGTACTGCAAATAAATATTAATCACTTGATACCCAAAAGGAAAAGGGATAATCTTATCATTTTTGTACCAGTAGGGCTGGTCGGCCCGGCCGTAAAAGAGTAGGGCTTGGGCCATAGTCTGTGGCCGGAGGGCCAGGTTGGGGCTCAGTATCCGTCTGGTCCACCCCGGACCGACCATTTTTTTTTTCTTTTCTTTTTTTTTCTATCCTATAGGAACAAGGGCTAGGTCGGGCTGGGCCCATTGCCATTCTTGTGCACAAGCTCGTTCTTCTATCCATCATAGGTGAAATCTGACGGGAAGGAGTATGTTATAAAAAGTGTAAATAATGTTTTTTTTTTTTTGTTTTGTTTTTGAATTTTGTAGGCAGGAAACAACAACTTACCCTACCCTCTCGATTTCATACCTAAAGACTAAAGGTGATCGTAACATTCTTGTATCGAAAATAAACGATTTCCAAGTAAAAACGCAAGATTCATATTACTACCATGGATCTTTCGTAGATTATATCAATGTTGCGTGTTGTCTTGTAATAAGAAATAACAAAGTTGCCATTGGATTGTCACATTGCTAGGGTTTGATCCTCCTCTTTTAAATTTTCAATTTCTATTGTGGTTTTTATTTATTTATGTCCAAGCACAAAGGACATGGAGATGTTTGATGTTGACACAGAAGGCATATGTTACTTAGAATCGATGAAATATTTAATATATTTTAATTTGATCATTCTTGTTTTTGGTAAATAATAAGAATATTTTGTTTGCCAATTATGAGCGATGTCCTAGTCTATTGGCATGGTCTTTTAAGATATGGTTGGCTTTTAGGTTCGCTTAACCAAAAGTTGATGTATTTTGTTCATTTTGACCCAACTCAAAGATTTTGGCCATTTTCGCCTCATTTGAAAGCACTTTCCGCATAGTTACCTAAGAGAGAGATAGATAGAGGGGCTGTTCTAGAGAGAGAAAGATCTGTTCTAGAGAGAGATAGAGAGAGGGGCTGTTCTGGCTGTTTTAGAGAGGGGGAAGTTTTAGAGAGAGGGGTTGTACTAGAGAGAGAGACAGAGAGGGGCTGTTCTAGAGAGAGAAAGATAGCGACTGGGTCTGTTTTAGAGAGAGATAGAGAGAGGGGCTGTTCTAGAGAGAGAGGGCTGTTTTAGAGAGAGGGGTTGTTCTGGAGAGAGAGATAGAGAGAGGGGCTGTTCTAGAGAGAGAGAGAGAGAGAGGACGGTACGGTTAAGAGTGTAGTCGTAGAGTACGAAGAAGAACGAGACGTAAGTTCGTCTTAGATGCTGTCCGTGTCTTCTTGTATTCTACTCTCTCTCTCT